ATTCAAGCAATGGGATTTTTGCAAAACCAGAATAAAATTTAGTTTTGAAAACAATGTAAAGTAAAACATTTATACCTAGAAGAGTTTACTAATTGTCATTGGCAATTTATGTTTTGAATATGATATCATCAAGATGCCCTCCAGATCTCACTCTTCCAAACGGAATCTCACACTCGCCTGCAATTTGCTCTTCAGATTGCTACCATTTTGTGTGTAATGTTTTGCTTTAATTCGTTGAGGGTCTTTGGATTAGCATTGTAGAATCCCCATTAAAAGAGTCTGGGCTAAGTGGTGGCCAATCAATGTTACCTCCCCATGATATCACTTCTCCAGGTAACATTTCTTGTAGGACGCCCATGTTCACGTTAGACGTGTGACAGGTGGCACGGTCCTGTTGAAACCACGTCATGTTGTTGTATTCATCAACATTTTGGAGATTTAGGGCCAAAAACTCTCTCAGTATTCGAACATAACTGCTCTGCTCTTTAGTATCGACACTTTCGCTTGTTCACAAAACCGTTCACATGAAAGTGAGTCTCGTCTGAAAAGAGAATCGTTCCTAAAACACAAAACCGCTAAAACACTGAAAATTCTAATCTCTTTGTAAGGTCAGTGTCCTTTAATTCTTGGACGATTTGAAGCTTATATGGATGTTAAGTTTCAACATTCGTACACGCAATACTCATAGTCGCTGAGATCTCTGGATTGACTCGAACACATTCACTCACTTCCTCTAGTCTAGTCTGATCCGTTGTTCGTACAGTCCATGGGCGACCTTGACGTCTTGTTGGCAATGTCGAACCTGTTTCTTGAAACCTCCTCAACCATTGCTTCATTCAATTAGTGCTAGGCGACTGATGAGTACGCCGTTATTTATATTTGACTTGAAGCTCAGTGATTATTCTCATAGAATGCTTGCACCACGAATACCCCGTGAACTGACTTATGTCTACTGAAAATGCATGAATCATGCAATCGAACGCCATCCAGCTTTTCCGCCTACGTGTCGCGATTTCATCTAAAAAACAACAGGGAATTTTATTATGCTCCACCCTGTACAACAACATCAATTAACTTAATTTTTAAAGAATAATATAATGACGCTCTTTTAACAAAGTAGATCATAAATAGTATTACATATGTAATTATTGTGGAGTATTAGCTGTGTAATGACTATATTGATTTGCGACGGGTATAATTTTATTGATCGTTGCAAAAGAATTTTGAGTACTTATTCGTATCACGTAAAGAAGAGAATTATTGTCAGATACTCAAACATCATATGTATCAGGTAACCAAATAAGTTCGTGCAGTTGCTGTATATCCCACATTGCCATGGATGCTGTCGATCGATAGCGATTGTTTGTTACCTGTTTTCACTTTAGTATGAATCCTTCTTTTCCCACAACCTGCAGAAATGTTCAGAGTGTGTCCTGAAACTATTCGTTTGCATCTTCATCAGCTAGGAAAGACGTGGAAGTTAAGCAAATGGGTCCCACATGAACTGACAATTGATAACAAATTAAGCCGTCTTGGCATTTCACGCAACGCTAATGAACCATTTCTTAATCGGCTATTAATCTGCGACGAAAAATGGATCTTCCATCCGAATTGTAAGCGTTTGTATCATTGGTTGTCGCCTACTGATTCGGTACCACACACGCCCAAGGCTTCGTTGCACCCAAACAAGGTTTTGTTGTGTGTTTGGTTGACAGCAACTGGAATCGTCCATTATGAGTTTTTGGAAAGGGGTCAAACCATCACTGCTTACTTGTATTGTGAGCAGCTTCAACGAGTACAAGCAGCACTCATCCAGAAACAGCCTTCTTTGATCAATCGGAAGAAAGTGATATTCCTGCAGGATAACGCCAAGCCTCATACCGCAAAAGTGACCAGAGAAAAAATTCTGGGAAACGTTACCACAACCGCCATATTCTCCTGACATTTCGCCCAGTGATTATCACCTTTTTTTATCTTGGCAGCTGTATGAGGCACCGACAGTTCGCAACTCGAGATGGTGTAATAAATGCAGCCCGCCAATTTCTTGACTACAATACCGGCATACAAAAATTAGTTTCACGTTGGCAAAAGGTCATTGAATGTGGTGGTAATTACTTCGACGAATAAATAGTGTCTTATTGTTACTCAATAAAAATTTATATGTTTCTACAAAAAACCGCATGAACTTGTTTGGTTACCTGATACATAAAAATGAGTACAAGAAAGCTCAACATAGCTGTCCAGATAAAATTAGTAGGTTATAATCAACCTTGTATCAATTACGTATATTATTACGTAAACATAGTAATTTAAGCTTCTAAGTGTACGCAAATTCATCATGGTCAACTTGGCAGCTGAATATGATATGCTTTGCGCCTCATTTGTATTGTGTCTCATGCGGTTTCAAAAAGGCAAGGTGATTGAAATACTTTTATATGATACAGACATACGCGTAAATATACGGAATGGACATGGTCAGTACCATGACACGATCGTGTTTTGCAAAATTTCCCTCATTTGGATTTCAGGTGCTCTTCGGTGGATGTTTTACTTGACTCTCGAAAGAGTACAATATTACAGGTATGTTGTATGTAGTTGCAGTTGCGGTAAAGGACTCGGACAACTCCGGAGCGACATAGTTGAATGTTACGCTGCTACATGGCAGAACATACACTGCTCGTGAATGAAAAGGTAAAACTAAAAGACCTGTCAGGCGTCAGCAATCAGCAATATGAATAAGTAAATAATGTTTGGGCTTGGTAAATAATTGGGATATAATGATTTGTAGGATTGAAATAATATCTGTGATGCCTTACCGGTGTCCGGTAGGATTCTAAAAAATGCCTCCAAAGACGGTGGACATTTCACAAAATGAATTGAACCGTGAACATATACGGTGAGGTTCAAATTTGGCTGACGTCGTAATGTGTTCCTAACACAGAAGTATTTGGTTTTCAGTGTACATGAGTTGAAGTATTGATAAAAACGAAACAAGGATCGGTAATTATGGTGAATTGGTCGACTGCTTTGTAGAGATTTTAAATAAATGAAATTAATAACAAATATTCGATATACACGTGGCTCATAGGGGGTTATAAAAATATCGGCCATCACCGAGCAGAAATAATAACTTGACACGATATTGCACCTCTTAGATTATTTGCATTATGGTTGTTTCTATACTGGTTCACGTTTTAGTAATTATGAAGGCATACTCCCTTCTGTAATGAGAAAAGGATATAGATGCTGTCAATTTACGAAAGCTGTGACAATAATATCTGCCTGTATTCCGCTTTTTAATATCCCATTATCAATTCACTAGATTTTTTACATCGGTCGTTCATTAAGATCGTTTAGTACGAATTCGTTCCACCTCAGTTGTTCGATTACCGATTCACGAGCCTTATTGTAACCTGAACCCGAACAGCGACAACGATCGGTTTTATTGCTGATTACGCAAAATAAATGCTTATTTTATCATTATTCGTTGGACTACAAAAAATCCTACATAACCAAACAAAGAAGTAAAGATTCCTTTCTACTGCTGTTCGAAGGGTATGGATAGTATATTCAGGTATAGGGATCCGTTACGCATTATTTCGATACAATATTATTTGTTGACTGTATAACTCGAATAAAATTCCACTACTACCATAGTCTTATAAATCGCTTCAAAATAAGCTTCAATTCGTGTGAAATTTTAGATTATGAAGTTTAAATGATCGATTTGGAAACTGCAGCTTTAGCAACTCAGTTCATACTAAGCATTTCAATCTCATTATCCGTATACCTGCCGCCTATTGGTTATTTTGGAATACTAAACAACCAATTCAGTTATTATCACTGTATATCGAACTTGTATTTATGTACGAGTATTATTTGAAAATATGGGTCAACTATGAAACCTTCGCCTTTACAATTTTTAAAGAATGATCTAATATACATATATAGTATTATACATACATAATATATGCAAATATCTAAATGCTTATATAATTGAATCAACACTACTTCTCAGGTATTATATACATACAGGGTGGCGCATCGAAACCGAAACAGACGCATTTACTGGCAGCTCAAGTTTTTTTAGAAAAACGCTCAGACCACTCGATTTTTTTTGGAGGGGGACACAAGTTTGGCAAAAAATCACGTTAACACGTGCTGCCCCCTGAGCGGGGGTGACACCAACCCTAAAATCTTATATGGAAAGGGGGGTCGAATGTTACCTTATTTTAAAGGTCTTTCAATTCCCTTTACAATGATGTAAAATAAATGAACTTCAGTTCAGTAGTTTTGAAGATTTATTTTAGTAAATGCGTCTGTTTCGTTTTCGATGCGCCAACCTGTATAGTGACGCTGTTAAAAAAATAATTGTCGTTATTTTTGTTTGCAAGATTTATATTTTGTTGTAATTATAGGATCCGGTTTTTCCACACTCTAGACGGGGGTGTGGCAAATAGATATACGTATACATATACGTAACTGACGGTGCTGCAAAAAGTGTCCTTAGATCTTGTGATAATGAGTTCGTTGCAAAATCACACAAGCAATACGCCTAATCTATATTCTACATTAGAGAGGCATGTTAAAAGATTTACCGGACTGAAGCAATGAAAAAAATTCCATTCCGCGTTGATCTAGATTTGAAGTGGTTGTTCAGTAGTTTGGTATCGAAACAAACGAAACAAACGATAAAAACACTTGTTATTTCTTTATTTGTACTATTGCATCAGAAGCCTATACGGCTTGTATGTGTTTATGGATCGGACACTCTTTCCACCATTTTAAATGGCTAAAAGCCATATTATTAATTTACAAAAACTGGGTGTATACCTCTGGGGTAGAGGATAGTTGCGATGCTCTCGTTCTTTGTCCCAGAGACGAACGATCAAGCCTAGACCATATGATGAGTAGCCAAGCAGCATAAAACAGCTATCCATGGATCGAAATACTATTTTACTAGGAATCACTGTATTAACACTGTTTTTCTTTCGTTTCAGCTATCAGGATGGAATTGATGCTATTATTCGCCATTGTTGCCGGTTGCATAATTGGGTCATCCAGCTTAGAAATATTGAACCAGTGGAACCTCATCACGTTCGATTTTCCACCAGGTTATTCAGCCAATTATAGGTCAGTCTCTATTCTTTATGGAGTTATTTTACAGTATGTTCTGGTACCAAAACGGAAGAGAATAGCATAACGTATCGTACGCTACTGGTAAGGTAGCTAGCGTTAATTTCTGTAAAGTAGATGCGCGCGGATCCCTCATTATCAGCGGCGTACGATGTGTTTCGGTACAACATTACATAGAAGTTAGTTGGCCGGATGTAAGTAAACGTGTCGGAAGTAAAAATCGTGGAAACATAGCATAAGTTAGAAATCGGATTCGCTTGATATCCTTGGCATTTCCACGCTTTCTCGTTTGATTTCCAGGCCAGAAAACAACGTGTTCACAGGCGTAGAGGTGTCCGAAGATCGCATCTTCCTGTCTACGCCGCGACTAAGGGCAGGCGTGGGCGCGACGTTGGCCGTCATTCCCAGGAACACTCCTAAGGGTTCCAGCCCTACGCTGACGGCCTACCCCGATTGGTCCTTCCACGACGCCGCTACCGGAAATTTCACCTGCAACGGACTCACTTCCGTTTACAGGACCAAGATAGATTCGTGCAATAGACTATGGGTAAGTATGAGCTAATCTAACAAAGAAGAAGAGAATATGCACGAAATTGAAGATGACGATAGATTTTGTCGACAGACATATATACAGATCCTAAAGCTAAGTGTCCGATCCCGAGAGATTTTTGTCTTACGAGAAATTTTTCTCCGATGTGTTTCCACAGAACATACGTGAGAGAAACAGAAAAAAGTGTAAAATTATTGATCATTATCGAATAGTTGCCGGTTTAAGATGCCAACAAAGAGTAGAGGTGTTAAGCCCGGAGTGAAAATAAATAGCTTCATAAATGTTAGGTAAACAAATTGGATTAAGAAAAGAGAAAATAACAGTATAATGGAAACATTTATAAATTTCTTTTCGGAAAATTATGACAATTAATTACAACAACACACACTTATCCAGCATTTTCTGGTAACCACAGGCTCTCACCACAATTTAAAAAAAAAATTGAACTTCATACAAGCAGTGGTCTCAAATAGACTCAGTTAGCCGATAAAATAACTGAGATGTATTACTCCAAAATTCAGGTACTTCAGAGATACAAAAAGGTTGATGTAATCCAAAAATCAATCATAAAATTGATCGTCCATAGGGAGATTAATTATTCCAGTGATTCTTTATTGTGGTCTAATATACAGGGTGGCCCATAAGTCCTTTGAGCTGGAAAAAAAGGAATAAAACCAAACTAGTTACATTATGAAGAATTATTATATTTTGTTATCATCTTTATTGAATGGGAATTATGTTTTAAAAATCACATCGTCTAAATGCAATCCATTACGATCACGGCACTCATATAAACGATGTCTAAAATTGTCGATGACTGCGCGCCAAGTCAACACTGTAATGCTTGCCATTTCTCTTCGGATATTTTCTTTCAGGACATCAACTGATCGCGGAGTGGTGTCGTACACTTTACTCTTGAGATAGCCCCATAAAAAGAAGTCCATTGGGGTCAAATCTGGACTACGTGGTGGCCAGGAAATGTCTCCTCTTCGAGAAATTACTTTGCTGGGAAAAAGTTGACAGACGACGGGCATAGAAGTGTTGGAGGTGTGGGCAGTTGCTCCGTCCTGTTGAAACCAGGTCTGCGTATTATAGCCTGGAAAATTCTGCAACGCTGGTGTCAAAAACTCTTCTATCATTGCTACATACCGCTCCGAAGTAACAGTTAATGCGCGACCTCTGTCGTCCTCAAAAAAAATAAGGGCCTACGATGCCATGCGCTGACATAGCAGCCCAAACTGTAACTTTAGGGCTGTGTAAGGGCTTCTGATGCTTACGCCTTGGATTTTCGGGGCTCCAATAACGGCAATTTTGTTTATTTACATGCCCGTTTAAATGGAAGTGAGCCTCGTCCGAGAACAACACATTATTGAGAGAAGAAAATTGATTCAACATTTCATTCGCAAAGTTTAGTCTCTGAATAGCGTCATTATCTTTTAATTCCTGCACTAACTGAATTTTGTAAGCGTGCAGACGTAAATCTTTCCTTAAAATCAGCTGTAAAGATGTTCTGGGTACGTTTAGTGCACTGGAACGCTTACGAGTAGACTGGGTAGGATTTTGACGAACAGACTGTGCCACAATGTTGATGTTTTCTTCAATACGAGTTGTCCTTGGTCGACTCCACCGCTGTTTATCTAACATCGAACCAGTCTCTTCGAACTTAGCAACCCAGTTCTTAATCGTTTGAGCTGTTGGACACTTTGTAAAATTGTGGTATTCTCGATATTTACGCCGCGCAATGGTTGCCGAATCATTATTTTGATAAAACGCGCGCACACAAAAAGCACGATTCGTTCCAGTGAAACACTCCATGGCGACTGAATTCCCAGAGAAGATACTGCCCCCACCTCGCCCGCACCGCTCATGCTCCCCCGTTAAATTTTATTCATATTTGAAATTTCAAAGGACTTATGGACCACCCTGTATTATATTAAATCTGCGAAATACTTGAATCGTACCATTCATAACTACCGAACAAGATTAAATCAAAATTCAATGTGTAATAGTCATTAAACGTATACCATGACGTCTTTTAAAACGCCTCAAAATCATCTTTTTTTTGTTACTTCCTTATAAAAAAACTTAGCTTTCATGGCCAACATGGGTCCTGAAATTAGTGCATGCCTATTTCTTTCCTGAAGAAACCACATGTACAAAGCTTCTTCCACTTCTGGATGTTCAGCTTTATTGAGTGTCTGTCTCTTGCCTGGCCCGCAGTCAGTAGTTGACTCGAACTTCTGGATCTTCTCGTGGTTTCTTTTAATGTCATAAATTGTAGATCGGCCTACGCCGTATTTACTTGCTAAACTACTGAAAGTTTCATTGCTATTTAAGCGGTCTAAAATATCACATTTTTCTTTAATTGTCAATGTTTTGTGCTTTCGCTTCTGAGTTTGTGATGACATTACTAGGTACTATATTTAATACACAACGAATAAATAGTAAACAATGAACACACGCTAGGCCATACCGCTAAATTCAAACTAAGTAAAACAATGCTCACGCATCGAGCACGATAGTGGTAGCGCGTACAAGTTGTAACCTGTTCAAACCTGCGTGATCTACATTAGCGAAGATTGTCAAATACCTATGTATGTAATACATATTCAAAGACATGTCGGTTTACAGGGGGCGTCGAATTAGACAGGGGCCGGGGCCGGATTATCGGGGGTCCACTGTTTATAGAATACTTAGTAAAAATTCAGAATATTTTACCAACTCATTTATTGCCCTTTAGTAATGTTATGAAATTAAAATATAATAATTATATTAATACAATTTCAAATTGCATAACAGATAAAATTGATGAACATATATCACAAATTAAGCTATTACATACGTAAAATAGTATAATAGTTTAATAGCCAAACATAATATTTTAGCCGGCAAAGGATTTTGTCTTCAAATAAATGAACGATATTTTCAATTTAAGAGTGAAGTACTAACCTGTGAACCACGTCCCGAATTCCACCACAATTCCACAGCTTTTTTACGTTTTGATCGGGATCTGCGTGAGCCGCATAGTACTCGAGTATTTTTCAGCCCTTAATTTTTTTAGACTCACTTCCTTCCTCACGTGAGAGCGAATTATTAGAATTTTTACTTCTTAACGACATGCTGATATTATCATAAAACCGCGCTTCAGTTGATCATATCGTAAACCGATTTGCGACTATTTCGTGAAATGCTTGATCGTTTAATGAAATGGTCAACTTCACGATATGGCTACGACATGTACTCGTTGAAACTTGCAAAAAATATGAACAGTCATATATCTCACACCTGTTTCCACAATGGAATAATACTTTTCATTGTGGATATACGCTAAAAAACTATATTTTCTACAGGTATTGGATGCAGGTACCGAAACTTCGATCGACAATTACATGCGTCCATGTGATCCGAAGATCCTGATTTTTGATTTGAGGAACGATCAGCTTGTCAGAACCATCGTCCTGCCTCAAGACGTTGTGAGACCAGCCTCAATTTTCACGAACATTGTCCTCGATGAGAGCATCCAAGGCAACTGCGACGCTTCTTTCGTTTACATGACCGATACCATTGCCTATGGTAAGCGATTTTTCTATTTCGGCAGCATTTTGAGTATTCGATAACAATTATCTATTATTTATGTAACATCACTTTGTAATTGTTATAAATTTCCTTAGGCTTGGTGGTGTACGATGGCTTGAACGATCGCGCATGGAGATTCCAAGACCCGACGATGTTTCCGAATCCCGACAATTCCCAGTTTGAAATTGTCGGCGAACGATTCTCGTTCATGGACGGGATTATAGGCTTAACGCACTCCCCGCAACTGGCTACAGTTTTCTACCAGCCACTTGCCTCTGACAGGTACTTGTTACAATTAGTATCGATTTCATTATTTCCTCGATAATATCAAGATCTGATGAGACTTTGCATCATGGGATTATTAGAAATAACTTATAATAGAATAGTAAACCTTTTGCAATTTGACTGAACCGAGGTGATGTAAATGGACATCAGACTCAAATTGGTTACGACATGAGCAGAAATTTGATTGATTGGAGTGAACTTGTAGATGATCATGCTGGTTGTATATTTTCAATTCATAAAATTAACGCGATCTTTACATATTGTCAGCGCTTCAACCATGAAATCTTATGTAAAAACTTTTTTTGTAAATGTCTTTTCTATTGGGACATATCACCTACAAATTTTATTATGAGTATGTCCTGTTGGGGTATCTCATTCCGCCCGACTGAAACTTCTTGAGTAAGAGCTGTTAAAGTCTGTGGAGGGTGAATTCAAGAGCCTGCGACCTATCATGTCCCAGACATGTTCAATTGGAGATAGGTCAGGCGATCGTGGTGGCCAAGGTTGATGCGATGTTGATCCATGAAGGCTAACGATGCTCTTGCTGAAAATCGGGTTTTGGATGGTGTTTAGGCATGGAATAAGATGAGGCACCACTACTTCTTGAATGTCCAGAACCCCTCGCTCGCTGTCCTCGGTCTTCCTGACTCCACGCTCATTCACACTGCAGTATACCGCGTAAGGATCTATTCGTCCTCCTAGAAACTTCTTTTATCGATAGACCGGCTTCACGCAACCTGACAATTCGACCCCTCGCAAATTCACTTACCTGTGAAACCCGGCAAATTCTACGCACTCTAGGCAATTTGAGCAATCACAAAAAGGCTTCACAATATGCTAATCGAAATGTAACACTTAACTGACACCGTAAATGTACGATAACTGAATGCTTCTTTATCACCAAACAATACACGCAGCCACAACAAAACTTTAATGGAAACACCTGACCATCTTATTGAATTATTGAATTCTAATAAACATACGTAGGTGTTTACCTTTGTTGTCACTCAGTATATGTAAGCATCTTTTTTTTATATGTGGTATTCTATTTTACTTCCTCTATGATAAAAAAATCTAATATCAAATTGCTGTTGCAGGATATTCAGCGTTCCAACATCCGTTTTGACAGCAGGACCTCCCGGAGAATTCGACCAATTGCCGGTGTCTTTGGCTGGAAGGAAATCTTCCCAGGGTTTGGGTCTCTCGATGAACCTGAACGACAACACTATGTACTTCAGTCCCTTCAGCGAAACATCTATCGCTGCCTGGAATGCTGCCACTAACCAACAAGAGTAAGTATAACTTTGCCACTGATTTTTGGATCACTCCGGACATTAATCAATTTTTTTTGAATAAATATTGTGCGCTTCGCAACATGGTTACAGCCCAAATAGCATAATTATGTCTTAAAGACGTTCTGAAAACGCCTTCTTGATACACCTATTGGAGACGTCTTGCGAACGATGTACGATATCGTTGTAAAGACGACGTGTGCTAACAAAACTGAGCATCTTAATGACATCTTCATAATACTGTGACAAGTAGTACTGTTGGCGCCATCTGTTGGGCGAGTCTGTTACTCGCCAGAGCCGATCTCTGCTTTTACGCGAACCATGACCGCACAAGCCGCTTGGCGGCGCCTGTGAGGACCATGACAGTAGATCGACGCGAAGTGACCTCCAATATTCTAGATGCCGCTTTGTGGCTCACCAGACCTTTCTCGAAGCAGCAATGGGGACTATATATAACTCGGCGGCCGGAAGATGGAGGCAAAGTACTGAATACGGTAGAGTAGCAGAGCGGAGTGGAGTATAGTGCAGTTAATAGCGACATAAGAATTATTCAGATATAAATAGTGGTGTACATACATGTTCTATCAAGTTAAATAAATTAGTGCATTTCTTTTTATGGAATCCTTCAGTGTTTCAATCCACACCCAAAAGAACCCAGAAAAACGCTACAATACCTTGTGCTTTCTTTAAACGACGCATCGTCATCTGGTAACCACTTACTGAGTTAAAATAAAACGTTGTCGATGAATCGTTAGATGATTCCAGAAAAGGTAATGGTGAATAAAAAATACAGAGATGTGAAAACTTCAACTACTTGCTCTTGTGTATAGTTAATAGTCGCATAAAAATATATCGATACTGCAAAGGTGTTAAAAATAAATTGGATATTTTCAATCTTTGATTAGGTTTGTGTGTTCAGCGTTTGGATTTCTCATGTTCACTAAAATTCCAAACGTCTTAGGGAGCTTAATTCTAAAAATCGCATCGCTTCTCGTTGTTATATGTCGTACGGAGATGTTCGTAACAAGTCGCACTAAACTGATCAAAAACGTCTTTTTAATGACTCAGACATTCAGACATTGACGTCTTTAAGACCTTCTATGCTATCTGGGATACCATTTATGTAGCATTTCCGAATTTTTACAATTTGTAATGATTAGAAATGAACAAATTTCGTTTCAGATTGCTGGCCAGCGACCCAGTGAACCTCCAATTCGTGGCCGATCTGCGTTGGAAACGCGAGAACGCCCTGTATGCGTTGAGCACCCGCTTCCACCGATTCTACATGCGTGCGATTAACCCTGCGGAGATCAACTTGCGACTGATCAGGATACCGCTGAACAGCCAGCAAGAGCTTCTTCAATCACAAGTGACGAACAGCAACGGCAACAGCATCGCACCCTGGCAACAGATTCCTGCGACGGTTGTTAACCCGCTGCAACAGTACAGGGAATTCTACTATAAATGAGGCTAACCTAGAAATACTTGCCATCATCCCATAATGTCAAGAAGCTTCTCCTGTTCGTATCACATCCAGCGTTGCAGACTGGGCCAATTATCAATCAACTCAAATACCGTTTTGTAATTTGCAGACGTATAAAAACGGTGATCCAGATATACTCATATTTAGAAATAGTTATTACTACTGAATTATTATCGATCAAATAGGCATGTTTTGAATAAATTAATCTTTTAACAATACCACGAAAATGATGACAATTTACCGATGATAAATAGTAAATTATTGAAACTCAGCCAGTATTGCCTTATATTGTTTTCTGTTTAACTATTTTAATATTATTAGTACTTTTGAATAATCGATTTTTATTTATATCTATACTTGCTCAAACATATATTTACCATTTTGTAAATAATTAGAGAAAATTATGTATCAAGGTTTGAGAAAAAGGCATTCCATATGTACAGTTTCCATAAGTATAAATAGGTATAGTTTGTAAGCAATCTAAATAAACAATTACAAAAATCGAAGTTTCGAGTTCATTCCTTAAAATCGTTATTAAGCAAGAACGATCACAATGTATAAATGAAAAAGGTTCAAAGGTGGACAGGTTGTTAGGTTATTTTGCCCTCGTCCCCTCACTATTACTATGTTATAAAAAGGAGGAATTTATCATAAAGCAGGCACGCTGAGAAATCATTATCAAATAACATCACAGATACTATTGTCTATACTCCGGTACAACGAGCAGATATCACCCTGTTCATACCACATCCACATCTAAGTGTACAGCCAACTAAATGACGCCATCTTAGTGCGCGTGTGCATACAAATTATCCTTTCAACATTTGATGCTCCCACTCTTCCGCTCTTCAATTTTCAAAACCGAGTGGAGCTCAGACGAGGTCCCCTCATCTTCAATTATCAATGACTGGTGAGTTTTCGCTTTTAGGTATGATGTCTTCCGAAACCTACCGAAAAATTTCACACAAACCTATCGAAAACACATCGACTATGCCTGGCAACACAGGCGCGTTCGACTAGATGAGACAATACTTACCCGTTATTATAGATATTTAGTATTTTAGCAACAAAGTTTGGTCAAATCAATCGCAAACTATGTACTAAATTCCTATTTAAAATAAGTACGAGATTTTTTCTTATCTTTCTTCAAGAAATAAGTTTTTTGCCACAAAAAACGCTCCAATAGCTATTTTCATCAACAAAATGATAAACAACCATGAAGAAAAGCATTTACTTATTAAGTAAATTTTTTTAGTCAAATTTATTCTAAAAGTAGTGCAAGCTAATCTGATGTACTAAGTATACTTTAAGCTTTAAATCAATAAATCTTCAAAACTACTGAACTGAAGCTTATGTATTTTACATCACTATAAAGGGAACTGAAAGACCTTTAAAATAAGATATCACTCGACCCCCCTTTTCATTTAAGGGTTGGTGCCACCCCCGTCCAGGGGGCTGCACGTGCTAACGTGATTTTTGGCCAAACTTGTGTCCCCCTCAAAAACAAAATCGACGGGTCTGTGCGTCAGTGGCAGCAAGACGAACAAACATATACTTCTTAATCATTGTAAACTTTTATTATATAATTTACGACATATTTGACTCAATAGAATCTTCAGTGTCACTTTTAGAGCGAAGATACTTCTTTTTTTACGAGACTGCGCCAAAAGGAGGGTAATTTTTCACGCAGGGTATAGATCTATGCATCAAAAAGATCTATTTCACGGGTCACAAGCCAAATAACTTGATAGATTTTGGCATGTGAGATATCGTTGGATTTACTCGACAAAATGTATCTTAATAAAAAAAAATCAACATCAAAACAAAACTTCAAATGCAATGTGCAGGGTTCAGCCCTTATGCATCGAATTCAGATAGCAAATGACCTTTAGACATTTGTTAAGCGGGGGGTAGGCTATGTTTAAGAGGGTTACGATTCAGGCCTAGCAATGTAATGCTTATTCCAAGACAGCATTACCATTTTCTTGAAAAAAATGGAAAAGTTGCCCGTCTAGGGTGGGCGTGCCCTCCTTGCCCCCTTTAAACCCACCGTTGCACAGCAGTGCATCAACAAGTTGCTAAATTAAATTATTCAAATTGCTTTTGTTGAGTCTTCCACACCGTTGGTGTGGAGTCGAATCGATAGCACACGCTACGGGCGGCATCCGTCCTTCCCCTTTTTCACCCCCCCAACTAACCCCCCCTAACCTGTGATGAGCGACGTATTGTCAGTGCCGTCAATTCGATCGAAATATGGCCCTGGTGCAAGCCACCGATCTACCATCGGCTGCCATCCGTTATCAACAGTACAACAACAGCCCCTTCCTCGTGTCTATCGACCATTGTTTACTCCCTATATTCACCCTGGGCACGTTCTAGGGCCAACCAGCTAGCCGTTATCACCGGTGCCCATACACACAAACACGATGCCGATGTTAAACCTACCGCCCAAGACACCGCATGCATATAGAACTTGTCTTTCAGACCATTATGCACCTACAATACGCAGCAATGCACAATGGAAGAGGCCAATGACTTAATTAGACTTGTTTACTTTTGTTTCATGTTTTACGTACATGGAAAGCGCCCACCATCTTTCATAATACGACAACATCCACCATTTTTTACTTTGGCAGGGAAGTCTTAATTTCGCAAATACTTGACATCATTTTTTAAACAAACATTTTCTGGAAAATAAATGGTTCAAGATATATCTCAGTGATCGGATTGAATACACATAAACAATGATCTATATCTACTGAAAAAGACATGTTCAACTCACTGTAAACTGAAATGAAAAGCAGTCATCCATACTCCCCCACCGTAAAACATTCTACTTGTTTCTCGACACCTCCACGCTCGGCTGCTATAAACTTCAGGTAGTAAATATATCAATCTATACAAGTAGCAGCGTCTGCGAGTAGGTGAGAATTTATGAGGAAAACGTATACCTACGTTTCACCGGTAATGGGAAGGTGACACTATGTTGTAATAAGAAACTACAGCTAACCACACGATAGTACACCAGACGTGGATTTGAAAAGACCTTCAGTATCTTTTATATCGTTCTTTCTCGCTCTACAAATAAACTTTTTAATCGTGAAAACCATAATAGATGAAAAGTTGGAAATTTCTTATATCTATCCTTAATAAAATAATGAACTTTACATGTTGGTACACTCCAGGCGGGCAATATTGATAATATTCTCGTCTCTCATTGAGGTTAATGACCAAGAAGGGCTGGGCAATGTTGATACGAGAACGGATGACAAATATCCGCAATTACGAAAAAAAAAAACAGAACAACTAGGACACAACAAATATTTTCAGAACCGGGAACTCGGAAGAAACGTCAAAGCATTTCATTCCTTAACCTCAAAAACACGGTTGTTATACTCCATACCAGTTTGAACAGAAACATTGACTCAAGGCCCAACCACCAGTACCTCTGTGAGTAATATGTATATGTATTAGTTTTATTTAAGCTTTAAATCAATAAATCTTCAAAACTACTGAACTGAAGCTTATGCATTTTACATCACTATAAAGAGAACTGAAAGACCTTTAAAATAAGATATCACCCGACCCCCCTTTCCATTTAAGATTTTAGGGTTGGTGTCACCCCCGCCCAGGGGGCTGCATGTGTTAACGTGATTTTTTGCCAGACTTGTGTCCCCCTCTAAAACAAAATCGACGGGTCTGAGCATTTTTCCAAAAAAAAACTTTGCTGCCAGTAAATGCGTCTGTTTCGTTTTCAATGCGCCACCCTGTATAACATAACCTTACATCCCGCAGTATCATAATTGTATTACGTATTTTAACAATACTCCCCAACTTGGCCGGTCATTGTCGTCATCACCCGTCTATGTCCCGATTATCGTCATTACCCGTTACTTAATTTGATTAAAATATGAAAGCTATAACAATTATTGATCTTATATTTATATAACGATTGTAAGTTCCATTTTGAATTCAAAATCAAGTATACTATACAGAATGACTTCGAAGTTGAGTCATTTATTTTAACAGTGAGTAGATCTGATCAAAAGAAATGTTTTTTCCTTTAAAATTTTTTCTGGTAAAATTAAAGTAACAAAGTTATAGCCCTTTGGAAGTTTGAGTACCGCACTGTCTCAATAATAATATTATGTGCTCGTGCTTGGCAACAACGGATATAATCCGTCTTATCGGTACATCGCATCGGAAACAAAAAAGCGAAAGAATTTGGTACGATGTTTTTACAATTATTTTATTCAGTTGTATACAGTCAGTGTCAGTCGGTAACGCGTGAGTGAATAGTGGTGTCTGTTGCGTGGCTCAAACGAAATAAAAAATGGCACATGTTTACGAAAATGCTGAACGGATCACGGATCGACAGCTAGAAAATGATAATTTAATTGAATGACTAGTTCATCAGTTTTATATTCGGTTGATGCACGCTACATCTCGCTTCGTACAGATGCAGTTGTATCAGATATCATAAAGAGAAAGACTATTTTAAACGAAATAAACCTATCTATTATTGCTCTTTGTTATGCGCTATATATGCAACGCTTTCATCAATACAATAATCTCATATGATGACTTTGTATGAATGCTACAGTTTAATTACTTTCACGAACCGAGGACAACGCCGGCTCGCCGTTGTAGATCGTAGCATAGATTGCTGCTGCTCTCATCTCATGAAACACAATTTTATGAGCCTCTAAAAGGATAATTTTATGTGTTTGTTTAAAATGCCGGGATATTTGGTACACGGCACCACTGGGTTTCGTTCCAAATTGAACAAATCGTTCTATCCCAGTCAACTTCTAGGCACTCTTTAAATCTTTTTTCTAGCATTTATGTTTGGGTAATATATTACTAGGAACATTCTGGATTTATTCGGCAGTTTGTAGCAGCGCCAAATAAGGAGATTTGGACAAAAACAAACGGCGGTGCATGCCAGAAATGCACCCTCAATTCACTACGTATTTTATAGATTTTAATGTTTCAGTTCCTGCACGATAACATTTCTAGATTTGATGCGAATTTATCCATTGTTTATGTTGATCTTCAGAACAAAGCAAATGCATTTTTACGCATTTATTATTTTCTGTATGAAGGGTTCAATGACTGTAACGTAACACTTGGGTACTTAGAGCTTGTGCTGAAAATCGGAGCTTTCGTTAGGAATAAAGCTTCGTTCGCATGTCGGATTAACCAATCCATCAAATAGAGGGCAACCGATAAAAATGTTAGTATTTACGCGCAATTTGCTTGTAATAATCATTACGTCTACAGAAGAAATGTTCAGTTTGATTTGGAAGCTTCTAATGGGTGATTTTTTAGCTGGTATCTTTTTGGCAACACTGTTTTTGACAGATGACGCGTGAATCGTGTCTTGTGTCTTTGTCAAACTTCTTCAGTTTGGTCTATAATTTAACCATGAATCGACTTACGAAAGAACAACGCTTGCAAATTATTGAATTTTAGTATCAAAATTCATGCTCGGTTAAGAGAGTGCATCGAGCACTGCTTCCAATTTATGGGCAATTTGGTCGGCCTACTGAGGGACCTATTCGGAAGCTTGTGACTAAATTTCGAACCCAGTTTATATTATTGGACATTAAACCACCAACACGCAGATGTACAGTGAGGACTGAAGAAAATATTGCGGCTGTATCCGCCAGTGTTCGTGATGACCGTGAAATGTCGATTCGCCGCCGTTCGCAGCAATTGGGCCTCTGTTACTCCACTACGTGGAAAATTTTGCCACAGGATTTGTTTGTAAAACCTTATAAGATACAGCTGGTGCAAGAATTTAAGCCACACGACCTCCCACAACGTTTCCAATTTGGTGAATGGGCGCTGGCAAAGTTGGAGGAAGATCCACATTTTTATCGAAAAATTGTGTTCAACGACGAAGCTCATTTCTGGTTGAATGAGTACGTTAACAAGCAAAATTGCCGCATCTGGAGTGAAGACCAGCCAGAAGCATTGCAAGAGCTACCAATGCATCCCGAAAAAATCACTGTTTGGTGTGGATTATGGGCTGGTGGCATCATCGGGCCGGACTTCTTCAAAGACGACAATGGCCGGAACGTAACTGTGAATGGCGAGCGCTACCGTGCGATGATAACAAACTTTT